GGCCCAGCCGCTGCCGGGCCACCTCCCTGCGGCGCCGGGATACCACCAGCTCCTGGCACAGGGCTGTGCCACGCTCCAGGGGTCCACCCGCCGCTGCCAATGCCTCTGCTGACACCGAGCTCACTGGGGAGGAGCCGCCGCCGGGCTCTGCGGGGAGACAGGCAGCGTCCGGCCTGGCTGCATCACCCACCCGCGGGGCCACCCCCAGGGATGTGGGTGGCAAAGGGCCCCGCCACCCCCTTTTCCCAATCGCCTCACCCTGGGAAGGGCGGGGGACAGCCCCACAGGGCTATGATGGTCGGGAGGTCTGGGGGTGCCGCACTCACTCTGCCGCTCCAGGTCGCGCAGGGCGATGGTAGAGACAGGCCGCGCCGGGTCCCCACTGCGGTAGAGCTGCAGCGCCTCAAGGATGTCTGACTCCAGGGCAAACTCTGCATCCCACTCGTAGTTCTCGTCCACCGAGGTGTTCCTCCTGTGGGGACGGGCATCAGGACAGTCCCACAGAGCTGGGATGGGCCCCAGGGGCGGGGATGGTGGGGACCCCATAAGGGGGTGTCCCCAGGGAGCAATGGCTGGGGTGCCTCCATGCCGGGACACCCCGGCCAAGCCCCGTGGCACAGGGTGAGAACTGTCCCAGCATGAGCGAGCTCATCCCCAGCATCCTGCCCGTTGCTCACCTCTTTCCGGTGCCACCGAGGGCTGGATTCATCCTCACCCTGCCCTCCTCCGCCACCGAGCCTCTGCTGTGCCAGCTGCCCCTGTCCCCGAGGGGGGTGCCCAGGCAGTTGCCCCCCAGGGACGGTGCCAGTGAGGGGGGTCGCAGGAAGGAGGCGCTGCCCCGGCCGCTGCTCTGGCTGGTCAAACTGCCCCGCGGCAGCTTCTCCAGGGGGGGAGGATCCAGGGGCCCACACGGTGCCCAGCTGGGCTCTGCGGTGCCAATTGAGGGCACAGCTTCAGTCCTACCACCACCAGCAGGGAGGCGGTGAGCTGACTGGGTGGGGGGCCCCGGGCCGGCCCCGGGGCTGGGGG